CAAGTCCAAATCAACTCAGGGTGCAAGTCTGAAAAAAGATGGGGCTGATTGAAGAGTTGCTTTCATGAGCTCACTCATGAAAGCAGCCTCGTCTATGCTTTTAAGCTGATGTGGAGGTCTGAAAACAAACGGGGCTGCTTGAAGAGATGTTTTCAATGAGTTGGCTCTCTTTGTTGAAAGTCGTGTGGAAGTCTGAAAAAGAGAGAGAGAGAGATGGGGCTCTTATTAATTAGCAGCAAGTCCATAGCAGCTCTTCTGAATCATTCCCATGCGTGCACAGCTCCTGTATAAACCCACAATGTGCTTTGACAATCCTTGCTTTATTAGGACATACAAATGAATTAGCATGCATCTCTTGACGCATTCCAGCCAAACAGCCTTCAGAACACGCCCTCTGGATGATTCTCTCCTGCTGTGATTTATGTGTCCCCGAAATTGCTGATGATGAGATGGTGTGATCATCCTCCCCTCTCTTGGAGTACAAATGAGTCAAAGCTGGGTTGATCAGTCACCTGTGTTCCTTGGAGTTGCAATGACACCCTAAGGCAGGGGGTCTTCAAACTTGACAACTTTAAGACTTTTGTGGACTTCAACTCCCAGAATTCCTCCTCCAGTCATGTTAGCTCGGGAATTCTGGGAGTTGAAGTCCACAAGTCTTAAACTTGCCAAGTTCGAAGACCCCCCTTGCCCTAATGATACGTTGAATTTCAGAATTAGCCAGAGAAGTACATTACAGGCAGCCCTCGACTTAGAACCCCAATTCAGCCCCAAAATTTCGGTTGCTAAGGGAGACATTTGTTAAGTGAGGCTTACCCCCGTTTTATGACTTTTCATGCCATCGTTCTTAAGTGAATCGCTGCAGTTGTTAAATTAGTAACACAGTTGTTAAGTAAATCTGACTTGACTTTGCTTGTCAGAAGGTTGCAAAAGGAGATCATGCAACCTAGGGACTCTACAACCGTCATAACTATGAGTCAGTTGTCAAGCATCTGAATTTTGATCACGTGGCCACCCCCTTACCTGCACTGCGGCACACAGCTGATTTTTCGGCTGGTTTGAGGCCTTTTTCGGCCTCCCAGAAGCTTGGAAAAGGCCTCTGCAAGGCTTTTCAGGCCAAATTATAGGCCCGTTTTGTCACTTCCGGTATTACAGGAAGTGACGAAACGGGCCTATTCTGCTTGAAAAGCCTTGCAGCGTGCCATTCGCATCACAGATCTAGTTGGTATTAGTAGTTTCAAAAATGCAACTAAAAATCTATTGCTGCATTTTCATGAAATAACAATGTGAATATTATTCTTAATATTATCAACACACTTTAACTTCGATCATTGGAGCTTCCTTTTCTATGTTTGTGATTATTTGGTAAATTCCAAGCCTTTTTCAAAGGCAATTCTATGAATAAACATTATTTGAGGACAAATCTAATGTCACACTTAATCCACTTTTCCATTTCTCATTCAACTTAGGGTCCTGCTGGCAATGATGGGCACTCCTGGGCAAGATGGAGCTGTTGGTAAAAGAATCTTCTGGATTCTTTTGAAGCTCGTCTCGAGGTTCATGATTTAATTAGGGCAATCACCGGAATCCTGACACTAGGGTCATAAGTGTCAGGATTCCGGCAGTTTTAGAGTTGCCAATAAGTGTGAAAAAAATGTTATAACTTCAAACAGTCACTAAACGAATGGCCATAAATCAAAGAGTATCTATAACCGTGGTGCTGAATTACAGTCATAACTCGAAGAATTCTTCTAATCCCAGCTCAATTGGAATCAAACCCAGGTAGCTGCTTCCAGGGGTAGGATTGAAATTTTTTAACAACCGGTTCTGTGGGTGTGGCTTAGGTGGTGGGTGTGGCTTGGTGGTCATGTGACTGGTGGGTGTGGCTTGGTGGTCATGTTATTGGCTGGGCGTGGCCAACTCAATATCACTCACATCGAGGCACGCATCTCCTCGCCTGGCCTCTCATGACTGCGGGGATGCTGCAACAGTCGCAAGTGTGAAAAACAGTCATAAGTCACTTTTTTCAGTGCCATTGTAACTTTGAATGGTCCCTCCACACAAGCAAAGTACCAGCAAAGGAGGGGGAAAAAAACTCCAGAGAAGTTCCTGAGACAGGAAGTCTAGTCCTGCCAAGAATGTAATAAGGGTTAACGGAGAGGCAGTTTCTGTAAGCAACACCAGAATGTTTCCTTCCTGCCTTCCTTACAGGATTAGCCCAGTAATTCCTTCTAACAACCGGTTATCCGAACTGCTTAGAATGGTAACAACGGTTCTAGTGAATAGGTGCGAACTGGTAGAATCCCACCACTGGCTCCTTCTCTTTCCAAGAATTAAAATTTCTCTCTTTTTTTTTTTTCCTGTGTCTTCCAGGCCTGGAAGAAACGGTGGTTTATCCTTCGCAGTGGCCGGATGAGTGGCGACCCCGATGTCCTGGAGTACTACAAAAACAATCACTCTAAGAAGCCCCTGCGTGTGATCAACCTCAACTTCTGTGAACAGGTGGACGCCGGTTTGACCTTCAACAAGAAAGAGCTGCAGGACAGTTTCGTCTTTGACATCAAGACCAGCGAGAGGACCTTCTACCTGGTGGCAGAAACAGAAGAGGAAATGAACAAATGGGTGCGGAACATTTGTCAAATCTGCGGGTTTAACCAGTCGGAAGATCACCTGGGTGAGTTCACATCAGGGGTGCCAAAATATTTTGGGCAGAGGAGGGAGGCGACAAACTAGGAAGTAGGAAGGTTGGACGTCAAGGTGACAGCAGAAGAGAAGAGTTGGAAGGGACCTAGGAGGTCTTCTGTATTAGAGTTTTTGCAGCGTTAATTCAGCTCCAGAAAAATAAACCCAGATGGCTGATGCTTCATTTAACATCTTTATAAACATAATAAGTAGATTTTACAGACCAGTTGTAGATTTCTCCAACGTGGAGCAAACTCAGACAGAAGTAGACATGTTACAAGTTCAGAGCTTCAGCAATAACTTCAGCAGCTCAGAAACAGACATCAGTTTCACTTTCGTTCAGCAGGCAAGCATTATACACAGCAGAGGAGAGAAGCAGTTTCATTTTCGATAGACAGACTCAGAGCTTCACTTAGCTTCAGAGCAGCAGAGCTTAATATAGAGTCACGCCTAGGCTACTTCTAGTTTCAGTTTCCAGCCTAGGCTACATCTAGTTTCAGTTTCTAAAACTGTCCTCATTGGGTGATTTAGTTGCTATGCCTATTCATTGGCTGACCTTGTTACCAAGTTCTATTCCGGTTCATGAATATACTCTGACATTCTAGTCCAAGGGTCGCCAACCAGTGGGCTGGGGACCACTGGTGGTCCGTGAGAAAATTTTGGTGGTCCACAGAGAAATGTCCCCCCCAAAGCAGCCCCCAAAGCAATTAATCCAGGCTGCGCAGGAACACAAGGCTACGCCACCCATATGGCCAGGGCTGGGATTCAAAATTTTTAACAACCGGTTCTGTGGGCATAGCTTAGGTGGTGGGTGTAGCTTGATGGTCATGTGACTGGGTGGACATGGCTTGGTGGTCATGTTATTGGCTAGACGTGGCCAACACAACATCACTCACATCGAGGCACGCATCTCCTCGCCTGGCCTCTCATGACTGTGGGGATGCTGCAACAGTCGTAAGTGTGAAAAATGGTCATAAGTCACTTTTTTCAGTGCCATTGTAACTTTGAATGGTCACTCCACACAAGCAAAGTACCAGCAAAGGAGGGGGAAAAAACTCCAGAGACATTCCTGAGACAGGAAGTCCAGTCCTGCCAAGAATGTAATAAGGGTTAACGGAGAGGCAGTTTCTGTAAGCAACACCAGAATGTTTCCTTCCTGCCTTCCTTACAGGATTAGGCCAGTAATTTCTTCTAACAACCGGTTCTCCAAACTGCTTAGAATGTTAACAAACCGGTTCTAGCGAATGGGTGCGAACTGGTAGAATCCCACCCCTGCATATGGCCTGCCCACCCGCTGGCCCCCACCCTTCAGCCAAGTACAAACCTTACCTTGAGTAGAGCCACACGAGCTGGAACTGAAAGGTGAGACTAACGGCGAGGGAGGGAAATCTGCCCAGGGGTGGCTTGCTGACGTTGGCGGGAAAGTCGGTCCCATATTCCAGAGCTGCAGTAGTCAAAGGACTGGCCCTTTGGTCATCCCGGAGCAGCTCCTCCAGTCCATGGCAGGCCGGTACACCCGGGTGGAGGAGCAACTGCTCTGGTATGACCAAAATTCATATTAGTGGTCCGCGAGATTTAAAATTATGACTTTGGTGATCCCTGAGGTCCCAAAGGTTGGCAACTCCTGCATCTAGTCCAACCCCTTGGTCAGGCAGGAGATCTTAATACCATTTCGGACAAATGGTTGTCCAATCTCTTCTTAAAAACCTCCAATGTTGGAGCATTCACAACTTCAGGAGGCAAGTTGTTCCACTGGTTAATTGTTCTCCCTATCAGGAAATTTCTCCTAAGTTCTAGGTTGCTTCTCTCCTTGGTTAGTTCCCACCGATTGCTTCTTGTCCTGCCTTCAGGTGTTTTGGAGAACAGCTTGACTCCCTCTTCTTTGTGGCAACCCCTGAGAGATTGGAAAAAATGCTATGATGTCACCCCTAGTCCTTCTTTTAATTAAACTAGACCTACCGAATTCCTGAAACTGCTCTTCATATGTTTTAGCTTCCAGTCTCCTAATCCTCTTGGTTGCTCTTCTCTGCACTCTTTCTAGAGTCTCAACATCTTTTTTACATCGTGGTGACCAAAACTGGATGCAGTATTCCACGTGTGGCCTTATCCAGGCATTATAAAGAGGTATTAACACATCAGTTGATCTTGATTCTATCCCTCTCTTAATGCAAACCTGGGACTGCGTTGGCTTTTTTTTGGCAGCTGAAGGCAGGACAAAGAAGTAATAGGTAGAAGACCATTAAAGAGAGAAGCAACTTAGAACTAAGAAGAAACTTCCTGACTTTGAGAACAATTAACCAATGGAACGGCTTCCCTCCAGAAGTTGTGTGTGCTCCTATCGTGGGAGGGTTTCAAGAAGAGATTGGGCGACCATTTGTCTAGAATGGTATAGGGTTTCTTGCTTGAGCAGCGGGTTGGACTACATGACCTCTGAGGTCCCTTCCCACCCTATGATTCTAGGATCCACTCATCTAAAAGCATGCTGGCGGAGGAACTCTGGGATCTCCTCCAACCTGGAGGAATAGGGAGGAATTTTCGGATACTGAATGATTAATCCATGGAACAGCTTTTGCCTTCAGACATGGTGGGGGCTTCATCGCTGGAGGTTTTTAAGAAGAAACGGGACAGCCACTTGTCTGGTGAACCCATGGCATGTGTGTCAGAAGTGGCACACAGAGCCATCTCTCCGCGCACGCCAGCCATCATCCGTTGCTCTTCCGGGTTCCGGTTCACACGTGTCTCCTGCTTGAGCAGGGGGTTGGACTAGAACAGGGGTCGCCCACCTTTTGGACCTCAGGGACCACCCAAACTTATAATTTTAAATCCCGTGGACCAGATACCCTGGGAAAATCCCTCCAAAAAGTCTGCAGGAAAATTCCCCACCCCGTTCTCCTACCAATCGATCATTCTTTATTTGGGATCACAGGATACCGTCTCCAGCTCCGTTCTCAAGGGGAGAGAGAGAGAGAGAGAGACTTTTGGCTCCATGCAAGGAAAGCAGCAGAAGCAGCAGAAGTCTTTCTTTCTCTCCCCCAAACTCCGCCAGAATGGTGCAGCCTCTTGGAGCAGGATGCCTTGCGGTGTCCCAAAGACTCATTGCTGGTGGAGTTTGGGGGAGAGAAAGAAAGACTTCTGCTGCTTTCATTGCCTGCAGCCAAAAGCAGAAGAAGAAAGAAGCGGAAAGAAGCAGCCCGGTGGCCACGCCAGACTTGTGGGGCGAGTGGGGCAAGTTCCCCCTCTCCGCCCTTTCCCCACTCCCTTTCCCCTCACTACCTCATGTTGTTCATGATGCAAGTGACGCAAGCCTTGTGTTCCCGCAGACCATGTGGGCGGCGCAGCCTTGTGTTCCCGCGCAGCCTGGATTAATTGCTTTGGGGGGGGGACATTTCTCTGCAGACCACCAAAATTTTCTCACAGACCACTAGTGGTCCCTGGCCCACTGGTTGGCAACCACTGGACTAGAAGACCTCCAAGGTCCCTTCTAACTTTGTCGTACATCATAATTAATTCTGTACATCGTAATTAAAAATCGGAGGTGTTTCTTCTGAGTTGAGAATGTGTTGTGTCTGAGGGTGTTTGGATGGTGGTGTGCAGGAGAGACAAGCCGCTTCCTTTGTGCTGTGGGCGGTAGCAGATTTCCCCAAGAACTATCCGATGTCCCCGGAATGAAATGTTTAATCCAGATGTCGGCATCCTGGAGGGTTTGAAAGGTGGGAAGGAGACTATAAATCCTTTGGCGTGCAAACAGAGTCCAATTCTGACATTTGCAAACTCACTCAAAACATCCCAAACCGCAGGATCTAACAAATAATGTTGCGACTGACGTTTAATCGCATAGTTCAGACTTTTTAATTTTGTTGGCGGGTGGGGGGGGCAGAGGCAGGAAATGGGGTGAGATGTCTAACACAATCCTAAGTCGTGTTAACAGAGGCATAGCGTCAAAACCACGTGAAGCGTTAGCACCGCTTCATAAAGCCTTTAGTAAGGCCACGCCTGGAATACTGCATCCAGTTTTGGTCATCACCATATTACAAAAAAAGAGATTGAGACTATTGGAACAAGTGCAGAGAAGAGCAACTAAAATGATCAAAGGCCTGGAGACTAAAACATGCGAAGAACGGTTGCAGGATTTGGGTTCGGCTAGTCTAGAGAAAAGAAGGACTAAGGGGGACACGATAGCAATATTCCAATATTTGAGGAGCTGCCACAAAGAGGAAGGGGTCAAGCTATTCTCCAAAGCACCAGAGAGCAGGACAAGAAACAATGGATGGAAACTAATCAAGGAGAGAAGCAACGTAGAATTAAGGAGAAATTTCCCAACAGTGAGGACAATTAACGAGTGGAACTGCTTTGCCTTTAGAAGTTGTGGGTGCTCCATCACTGGAAGTTTTTAAGAAAAGACTGGACAGTCACTTATATTTAAGATGATATAGGATCTCCTGGTTGAGCAGGGGGTTAGACTAGATGACCTCCAAGGTCCCTTCCAGTTCTATTTTGTTTCTTATGGCTCTTGGAAACATGTGACCCATTTGTTCTTACTCTATGTTTGTGGTTTTTTTTTTTTTTTCATTTCTTGTCCTCCTCCTGCCCCACACATTGCTGAAATTTAAGTTATTTCGCCTCCAAATTCCAGCAAGTACTGCCTCAGGAAATGGCCAAAATTATTTATTTATTCAAATCCTGCAGCCGCCCAACTCAACCAAGCAACTCTGGATGGCTTAGCGTTCTAAAATTACAAAACATTTTAGGCCATTGGAAAGACATTAAAACAATAAAAACTCCCACAAAACAATGAAGTATAAACAGCAGCTGCGATGATTAATCAGCTACGGTTGCCGGAATTGGGTATGTCTAGCCTAACGAAAAGAAGAACTAAGGGTGACATGATAGCAGTCTTTCAACATTTGAGGGGCTGCCCCAAAGAAGAGGGAGTCAAGCTATTCTCCAAAGCATCTGAGGGCAGGACAAGAAGCAATGGGTGGAAACTAACCA